TTTCTGATTTTTTATTGAATATGACGGTATAGAAAATGTAAATTATATGTTTTGTCGAGTTTTCTACTGTGAATTGTTTACTAAAAATGCGTCTACGGTTTTTTAATTTTCTCACAAACGTAGAAGAAACTTTTTCATACCTTTACTCCACACTCTGGAACAAGCAATATGTAACGACGTTAATTGAACATACAAGGAGCACAAGTCAGGATGAAAATGATATGATTTTTATCAAAAAGTTCTTGCCAAACTCGCTGCTTTAACTGCTTATTAATTTAAAAAGTCCATGACATTTTATGTCAAACTGGCGCACCATACTTAATAGTTCAAACTTATTCTGTCCGGCAAGGACAATACACCGGTGGTAAAATTGACCGCCGTCTGCATAAACGTCCAATTTGCGAGAAATAGCATATATTCTCAGTCTAGTATTCTCACAGGGAAACAGTGATACAGATATCAATACAGGTCCAATTTAAAGGTAATTATTTGTGTTGTGTATGTTTGTAAATGTGTTACTTAATACATATGCAAAATATCATAATTTGGTGGACCTATTCCATGGCTTCTTGGCATTTTTTGCTCTTAAGTTATTTCAAGAAGCTATTACCATATAAATTTTGATCTCTTTGCCTTAATAATTAATATCCAGAATTGTAAAAAAGGCCGGTACTGTCTTGGCATTTTTTGCTCTTAAGTTATTTCAAGAAGCTATTACCATATAAATTTTGATCTCTTTGCCTTAATAATTAATATCCAGAATTGTAAAAAAGGCCGGTACTGTCCAACAAAGTTTTGTCTTGTCTGATTGAAAGGTAATTCAACTAATTGATGGATACAACAATAGAATATATGTTGACAAACTGCTGAATTCTTTACAAAGCAGCAGTATTCTAATGTTAAAGGACTCAAAAAGCTGGTTGTTTACTTCTTCATGTCATATACCAGGGTGATTGTGCTGTTTACAAAATTATATTGTTTGAAAATACTTGAGTACTTTCATAAAATAGACTATTATTTAGTAAATTCAGACAAGATGCACACATCACAAATAACAATGCCCTCAGGAACTTTTATATTTCTTTATCTATTGTACTGTAGAAAATAAGAAAACATACACGTATACAAACACACTGGTAGCTATATAAATTTAATATACAGAATTATCTTGAGTATAGCTACTTAATATAAATAGATGAGATTCTTACCTTGGTTCCGATTAAATTTTGAGCTTGAAGGAAAATAAAATCTCAAAGACAGCGTAGAAAACATCGTAGTGGATGAAACGCGGTAGACTAAATGAAATATTTCCCTTTTCCTTCAAATTTTAATATGCTATTACATTTGCCACTCTTTCTATGCCGCCATGTTGTTGCCTTATGCCTGTACCAACCTCGTACCAAGGGTCTTATTTCCGGGGTTAACACACAAATTAGAAAACAAATAAAGTAACAAACACAAAACTCGATAGCATAGTGTCTAGCGCTATACGCGCAGATATAAAAATGTAACATAATTACATATAAACACTGACATAACAAAGCTAATATTTAATAATTGTGAAATAATTGATAGGTCAAAAGTGTTGATATTCAAACAGTCTCTTGCCACTGATATGCGCACACGAAAACCAGACTTAACGCCTCGAAAGTACAAATAATTCAATGACATTAGCTAGGCTCCCCCTTCCTTGTTTATATTTTAGATTATCTGTAATTTTACTCCGATCCGGACGATAACCACAATTTAGTCCGTCGATTCAATAAATCAATATACATGTAATCGGAGTTACACTTCTTTTGCATTTTCGGTTCATTGATTAAAATTATTTTGATTTTTACGGCATTTTGGACGTGCACATGTTCAAGGCTATACTGACTACCGTCTATAGCTATCAGTGAAAAATAATTTTTACGCCACACAGTGGCGAAGAATCCGATGAAACAGATAAGTAGTTCAAATAAATCGGAAGTGAGCTGGGCACACTTTCTATATACATATTAGCATACAAATGGAAAGCTTAAAAACACAAAGAGTTTGACTGAACTTGTTTTTTCTTGACATATTCCACCATAAATGGCAAATCAATTTAAATGTAAACGGTTGTTGAAACGCACATATGATTCTTTACCCTCTTATTAGGATTCTCAATCCCTCGGTGTCCTTCTGGCACCAATATTGTCCCATGTGACCCTTGAACACGGGGAATTGACGCCGATAAATATATAATTAGCTACCCAGTCAGCATTTACTGGCTTATAAGTATAGATAATTTGTTCGTTATACAACCTTGGAACTTGAAAGTAGCATTGATTTGTAGGCTGACACTTCATTTCCAAAAATATAAAAAATGATAGACCTAGAAAGTTTACCTTTTTGTTATTTTAGCACGCGGAATTTCATAATTATTGCAACACCAGACCCTTACATTCTGCATGCGCGATGCTTAAGCAAACTGCTTAAGGAAGTCAAACTGTTCACAAAAAAACATCCACAATCCAGTGGCGTGATGCATTGATGATATCCGGTAAGTAAAGCTAAATTATCAACACAATGAGCTATATAAACAAACACATCGTCACTGCATTCAAGCCTGTGAACATCAACTGAATCAAAATCAGAGAGAATCAGAGAACAAGGGTCGGGATCTATTAACTACAGAACTACTCTTCGTCAGGAACATTTTGTTGGAAGAATATTATTTTGATCTGTCTTCTTCAAGCAGTATTAAAGTCAGGTATCTATTTTTAAAATTAAAAACAGTTTACTAATATCGTAATAAAATTTGGCAGAACACACTGGTATTGCATGTTTCTAAAAAGACTTCTTGGGATTTTTGATTGAATATGACGGTATAGAGAATGTTAGATTTATATTTTGTCGAGTTTTCCACTTTGAATTGTTTAAAGTGGCACTAACATTCAAGGTTTTTTCCATAATCCGGAAATATAATGTATGCTTGATATTCTTACAAAATTTCAAGTTAAATTTCGTTCATCTTCCTGACTTTTTTACGATTCTGATTTGCCAATTTTACGGCCGCCATTAAACGCGCCCAATTAAGCGAGAAGGCTTTTTGACGAGGATGTGACGTCATTCACTCAACACGCCGAACGTTTTTATTGTATTTCACTACTATTTCAACAATGTCTTCGTACAAATTCATATAAAGGAGAGTTCTGAACTTCAGAAAGTGAAAACCATGGCCAGAAATGCGGGACAGTCAGCGAAATATATCGCGAGCGCATAATTTCGCGAAATTCTGCAGCGTCAGCATAATTCCGCCATAGCACTCTTCATACAATATTTATAAATATAATAAGCAAATTTTTAAACAATGTCTTTCTATAAAGCGTTGCATAATTTAAGTACGGCGGATTTTTATGAAGAAGGGACATCTCGCAAAAGAGTTTTAAGGGCAACGAAGGAATACTACGAAATTGAGAGAGTCATTTCGCGTAGAGTTCGTCAAGGAAAGGTAGGCTTTTCATATGATATTGCATGTAGCCTATGCATATATATTTAATATACAGGTATTACACTTGCCCGGTTTCCTACAATATATACTTTTATACTACCAGGTTGAATACTATGTGAAATGGAGAGGTTCTTCCAGTTTGGAGAACATTTGGGAACCCATAAACAATTTAAATTCAGCTGCAATAAGGTACAGTATTACTTTGTCGTATTTATATATTTTACATATTGAATATATATAGATTTTCCTTTATAGTGGACAATTGTTTATATGATCATTCGATAATCAATGAGTTCAACATTGATATACTCATTAGAATATTAAAGTTGTCTTTCTGAAGGAGTATAATATGTACAAAGGATCTATGCTTTGTATATTGATAAAATACTATAATTTGGGTAAAATACCATAATTTGCTGCTTGCTTTTATAGTGCATTTGCAAGACCAACACCTTCAAGTGAGGCAATAGCACTTGGAAAAGATGCTTTGGCATGTGGATTGTTGGAGCAACTGAAGTCCAAGAGTTTACTTCCCACTGTTATTACTTTTCGCCATGATGTTTTTAATTATTTTTTCAATGGCAAGGGCGAGAAAAGTAATGACAGGGGATTCATACTTTTGAATAAAAAAGACTTCCAACTATGCTGCTTTCCTGATAATTGGGATAGAGTAGTGGACTCTATCGGGGATGGGGTCAAAATAGATTTTCCGATTAAGTTGCGGCCATTCCTCTCATGGAGCCCCAAGACGCATCACTTAGTTGGGGGAATTGTTGTCCCATCTCCAAGATATAGACCAGAGAAGCTTAGCATTTCAATGTGCAAAGTTGCATGCAGCTTGTCATAATCTAGAAATGCATGATTCTATAAATTTATCTACTGGCATTGCTTATATTAATATATTTTGGCCCAAATTTCAAATGTATATAGGATTTGATTGCATTTTGCATCTATGCGACAGCATAGTGACCAAGTATCGCATTATCTTTCATTGAGTTTGGCACCAACATGGTCACTGTATTGTTGCTTTTAATTCCTAAGAGATTGATTGAAATCCATCCATAGCAATTTGGGCCAAAATCTATATGATGGGAATTATTAAATTTTTTTTTTATATATATCAATGGTTTGGTTTTCAGATTGAAGGATAGGGGTATTGGAGGGGGTCAGGGGGAGGGGGGTCAGGGGAGGTGAAAATTTGGATGTGCATGGCCTAAAGCAATTAATCGTAAGAATGGTTTGCACATAAGTTGGAACATTGCCTATGTTAAAACAAACTTTAAGATTATATGTTTTCAAATTAACACTCTAGAATTCACATATTGGGAAAAATATTATGTTTCCATGAAATATAGTCTGTGGGCAGTGTTTCAACTTATGTGCATGAGGCGGATTTAATCCTACTTGAATATAGACATGCAGCAGCAATCAGGTATCCTTTCTTCTTTTGTTCTTAATCCCAGTAATGTGTATCTTTTTTGCTGTATGACCTCTTTGTGCGTTCACTGTCACGTAGTTCTCACTACCTGAATTCTAATTGAAGAACATCTGATGCAGGGTTCTTCTTATTGGATTTGCGTAGAATTACACTCCTTGCCACATCATTATTTTTTTCCACCCCCTGGCCAGTGAAGACTTTGACTGATTGATACAACTGCATAAATCTGGGTACATGGTAGACAAGTGAATGCATATAAGGGGTCACTGCTGCTCTCTTATATCCACTGTGGATTGATGTTCTCCTCAATGATGTAAAAAGGTTTATCCATTCTCTTGCCATTTCAAAATAATTACCAGAGGTATCAGTGCTTGTGTTGTCTGTTGTTATTATCTTGTATAGTTCTTGAAATTTTTTCCATATCTGAATTACCACATCACATGTGTCAGGCATTAGGCAATCTGTTAACTTATCAGGAAGTTCAGCTAAGAGTTATTTTTTGTCTGAACCAAAAAGACTGGTAAAATCATATTGCCCGGATCCTTTTCCATCCTCAGTTTTTTTCTCCCATATGTCAAAACTGACCCCACAGGATCTAATGGTGGATTGCAATTTTGTGAGATGTATCATATCTCTTTCACACTTTTTTTTATTAAAATTTGTTTTTTTGGCAATCATTTCTTGTATAATATTGTTTAACAGGACATCCATTACCCTTAGTAATAGATGGAGCTCATCCAAAACAACATGATCTAATTCAATCTTAATGAGGGGTTCATTTTCACAACAGAATTTGTCTGCAGTCCCCTTTTTATTTGCCATATATATTAATTACTTCTTCCAGTGTACGTTGGAGTGGATGAGAGTTATAATAGTCTAAATCCTTGTCCATTTGCCATCTGTGTTCTTTGTGTATCTTGCACCAAAGGCATGCATAGTTTGAGGTTGCTCCTTTCATGCCCAACATTATGAGGAGAAATTTATAATCTCCTCCCAGGAAAAATTCAAGGCCATATTTTGTATTGTTTATTGTAATTTCACTCACCTCAATTAAGTTATTTATTTCTTCAAAATTGGTGCTGAAGGAATCTTTTAAAGTTTCATAGTTTTCAGATCCTTTTATGATGGCAAATGTGTGATTTCCACTTGCCGACATTACATCTTTTCTGTTTTGAAGTAATGAAAAGGAAAGCAATATGAAACTTGAGTTCCTTGTTATTTTTGCTCCATCCCCTGAAATCTTAATCTGAATTTTTTCTTTGCTCCAGTCTACTTCATCATGAAGTTTTACAAATTCTTGAATCCGGGTTTTCAGCATCTCTGTAAATGAAATCTGAGCCCCATCTGCCTCACCGGGGGTTGGGATCACATTACTAATATCATTTAATTGACTTCTCCTTTGCTTGACCAAGTATGATTTGGGAAGACCATCAGTAATCATGGTTAGCTCATGGTAAAAAGAATCTCCTACACAAAATTTATCAAGCAGGAATAGAACTTGTTCAATCTTTTCTTTGTCCTCATTGAATAAACTATCAAAATTCTGGCAGTCATCAACATGGAGGGAATGTATTGTTCCTGTGTTCTGTTCCATGGCTGTGATCCCTTTCAACTCCAGACCAAATGACTTCATAAACCACAGTGCAACTTTAGCTCGTGACATGAAAGTGTTTAGTGTCCTTGATTTTTTTGAAACTTGGGAAACATCTTTACCATGGTTTTGAAAACTTTGCTTCCTTTCAAGACAGTCAATATATTTTTCAAGTTCTTTGTTCATTTTATTTAGATTACTAATCTCTTCATCTTTCTCTTTCAAAGTAATCAACATTTCTGAATAAAGTTTTTCTTTTTCTTCTTTGAGGTTCTTGTAATCTTCTCTCCATTTCTTAAGTTCATCAATAATAGTTTCATTTTCTCTTTCCAAATCTTTAACAGAAATTGCCATATCCTCAAATATATGAAATCTTCTTACCCTTGTGTCCAGTTCCTTTTTTTTCCCTCCCTCCTTTGACTTTGCTGTAGGCAGATTTCACCGCTGCAGTGATCATTCTCAATGATTCGTTAACTTCACTTCGGATAGTTGGGTCATTAGTGATTCCAAATACATTTCCAGGGATGGAAAGTTCAAAAAGATCAACATAATCCAGGCTGTAATCATGGCTTGGGCAGCCATCTCCATTGCCAACCATATCTGCCTCAGTTGTGTGGGGCTTTACCTTCTTTGCCACCATGTACCCTGCCATAACTGTATAAGTTGATAAGGAATATCCACAGCGAAAATAACCTTCCTTGAATTTGCTTTGGCTGCATATGCTAATGATGGAACTTGAATGTCTAATTTCCATTTTAATACAGAATTAATTATAGGAATATCAGACATCTCAAGCGAACGTCGGAGCCAATTTTATATCAGTTAAACAATGTGGCAACTAGTTTTTTATTTAGAATCTTTTAATTAATGGAACACAAGAGTTTCTAACTTCACAAAGTACAAAATTATACCAAAATAACACTTATTTTACATGAACTTCGCGGGATTTAAATTTGATTTTGGCGGGTTTTTTCCCCTATTTTGGAGCCCCCGTCCCTTCTAAGCAATAGTCAGCGGCTGTACATACAATTGTTTTCAAAATGGCTGACAAGAACTCAAGAAACGCTATTAAAATGCTCGTAGTTTGGGGGTTTTCGCGTCGTCTTCCCCAAGATACTTGGTAGCATCATGAGCTAACAGTTCTCATGAAAATCGGGCTATTTTAAATGTATTTGGCGGAGCAAATACAAGCTAAGATAACTCTAAATCAACATGAAAGGGGAGATCGACTATCGTGCACGAATTGTAGACGTAAACAATTCGTCTTCGAACTCCTGGAGCAACGCTACACTGACCTAAACTTGGTAAAGAATTGGGATTTCCTGTATTTAATAGGAGTTTACATTGCGCGATAATACTGTAAAACTAAGTTACTCGGGCGGATATTAATATTGCCAAATCGTCACACATCGAGCGATTCGTGGAACACTCATTAAGGTATTTTGTAGATTTGTAGACGTAAACACTTTGCAAATTCTATTTTGTTTCAGTCTGCGCATTGGGTTTGTGCGATTATAGTATTAACTCTTAGCATTTCCGCCATCTTGAATTCGCGAAATTGGACAATTGTGCGCATAGTTAAGAGCCATAATGTCCCACATTTCTGGCCATGATGAAAATGCTTTATAATTTACATTTTAATATCGAAATATCTCGTATAAATCGACAAAACTACATAGCTCAACAAAAAAGTTCACTGTTCGTCTCTCGTCTAGTGCTTCCACTTTTCCGTCGACGTCACTTCCGACAAAACCTGATCATAACATGACATAACAAGAATAAATTATACTAAATTAACGTTGTTTATACGCGTCCTGACGGGACAATGCCGGCCCCGTATTCGTCCTCTGTTTCTAGGACGTGTACGACTTTAAACCTCAGCTGCTTCTACGAGAAGCTCAAGTTTTCCAAACGGCCGGACAAGTGTTCCATTCTTCGTTTGAACTTCAGCTGCTCGGACTACACCTAAATCTCCAACGATCAGCTTTGTGACACGACTCAACAACCATGCACGACGCGCGAAGCGACCTTATAGACCACGAGGACAAGATCGCCTATCTTCACATTCCTAATTTGCGTATTCCACTTCCGTCGCTCTAGAAGGTTCCGAACATACTCACTTCGTGTCGTAAACGCTCATGGTAATCTGTGCCGGATAAGTAGTCGGGACACATCGTGCTTCTCGGGGAGAATGATAGGCTGTCGGGCGGAATAAGGAATGTATGCCTTCATGAGACGACCACTAACATGAATTATGCTCTCGTTGTCTATAAATGGAGACAAGATAAGCATGCGACTTTGACTTGGGATTGATTTTTTCTCCTTATGGCCATGCGCCTCGAGCTCGCTTTATCCAGAACTGTTTTGCAATCTCGTACTCCGTCACGGTTAGAGCGCCAAGTTCGCGATCTTGAGATTTATTGAAACAGTTACTCGTGAAGACTGTCTTTCGAAACGTCGTTGACACCGGGAGAACTAGTCACTTCAGTTGCCAAACTAACTTCTTGAGGGACGGCGATGTCTACAGGCCAAAATTCTTCTGGTAGTGTAAGAAAGGCCGGCCCGTTTAACCAACGGCATTCTGGATCAAGGTTTGCAAGTTGGAGGCCGCGGCTACCATCGTCCGCTACGTTTTGACGCCCAGGGACGTGTCGCCATTCAGATGGGTCACTGTTGTCTTGAATCTCCGCAATTCGATTTGCAATAAACGTTGGATGCCGGTCACTGTGGCTTCGAATCCATTGGAGAACGGTAGTGTTATCCGTCCAGAGATAATAGGAACTGATCTCGTATGTATGCTCTGTCTTTATCACATTCATTAGACCGACACATAGTATAGCCGCTTGCAACTCAAGTTTAGGGATGCTCAACTGTCTCAAAGGGGCTATCGGAGTTCATCCCATGATGAAACAACACTGTATATGGTCCCATTCTGATAGAGAAATCGGAAGTATCCAACTGCACAGAATGCATCAAATGAAGCTTCCCCAAACACATGGAATTTAATGACCATTGGGATGGTGGCAACTGATCGATAGAATCTCGTTTCTCGAAATGAGGTTAGGTCATCGAGCTCCTTTAGCCATTCCAGGAAGGGAGCAAGGTCCTCAGCAGGAATTGCCTCATCCCATCCTTGTTTCATCTGCCACAAAGCTTGGAAGAACAACTTTGCTCGAAAGATGTAAGTGGCAATTATTCCAAGCGTATCAAAGATGGAAATAATGACACTCAGGACTTATAGCCGGGTAGAAGCTGCCCTTGGGAGGCAACTATTAAAGAAAAACGAGTCCTCCCATGAGAATTCGCACGATGTGTGAAAGGATTAGCGTTTCAGTCGTTGTTAACCATAGTGTTGTGTCAAAGTTGGTGAATTGATGACATAAATTAATTATCGAACCTTGCTACTTATTTGTAATAGTATCATTCAAACAAGAAGAGGATGAAGATCAAGTAAGACTAACTAACAAAATCATACATGGCGATCCTATTTAACTACGTGGCATTATTATTATTATTATTTAAAAATTCGCCCTATTTACTTAAATAAGATACAACATACAGTATAACGTCTGTTGAATACTAGAGCTAGGAGCCTTTTAGAAACTTTAAGAAGCTTTTAGTGCAAGGCCCCTATTATAAAATCAAACGATAGCTATATGTCAGTTAATATATGGTACATAAAATTTTAAGGAAAGTTGTGATATAGTTTTACAATAATATAGATATACAACAAATATGAAGTTAGGAGTGCATGATGATGGAAGCATTGTTTTAAACGTCCATGAATAATATAATGCTGTATTATAATTATTCTTGTATTTGATAATAAATTTTAGCTTGTTTTTTGAACGATTGGTAAAATTTAATGGATTTTAAATCTTCGTTCAAATAATTCCGAATATCTACTCCATTATTAGAGAGAGTATGTTTCATGTAATTAGTTCGGGTGTAGGTTTTATGTAGTTTTTTTGAACTTATAGTATTGTGATGATGAATTTCATTATTAGTTTTGAAAAAATTGTTGAAAATTTCGGGCATATTGTTCATGTTGTAAAATTGAAACATAAATAAACTGGTCAAATAATCATTTATTGTGTAAATATTTAATAGATTTAATTTCTTGAATAATGGTTCCGTGTGCTCAGAATACGGTTTGAAAGTGATTAGACGCACAATCTTCTTTTTCACACTCGTCAATTTTTGCAATTTTGAAGGGTACGTGTTACCCCAAGCTAAATTAGCGTAAGTGAGATAAGGATGCACGTGCAAAGCGCAAAGCTGAATTAACAACAAACCATTGTCAAATCTCTTCCCATGTGTGCGGAAGATAGACCAATTAGATTTCACCTCTTCGTCTGCATAGTTTACTGCTTGGATCAAAAAGCCTCATTGTGTCACTTGCAAGCAAAATTGTATGATCTCTGCGGCAAAGTACTTCGAAATTATACTTTTGGAAAAGATATTTCGTGGATATAAAACAACGGTCAGTATCACAGTATTATTCAGTGAGACGCAGTTTATAGAAATATAGCTCTGCCGCGGGCAAGCGCTTTTACTCTTCTGGTGGACAAAGGAATACGTTGGCTCAAGTATTGATGTATAATTCAGTGAGACGCAGTTTATCAGTCAAATATAACTCTGCTGCGGGCAACCGCTTTTACTCTTCTGACGGACAAAGGAATACGTTGACTCATGTATTGATGTACGATTTAGTGAGACAATGTTTATTCAAATATAACTCTGCCGGAGGCAAGCGCTTTTACTCTTCTGGTGGACAAAGGAATACGTTGACTCAAGTATTGATGTATAATTCAGTGAGACGCAGTTTATCAGTCAAATATAACTCTGCTGCGGGCAACCGCTTTTACTCTTCTGACGGACAAAGGAATACGTTGACTCATGTATTGATGTACGATTTAGTGAGACAATGTTTATTCAAATATAACTCTGCCGGAGGCAAGCGCTTTTACTCTTCTGGTGGACAAAGGAATACGTTGACTCAAGTATTGATGTATAATTCAGTGAGACGCAGTTTATCAGTCAAATATAACTCTGCTGCGGGCAACCGCTTTTACTCTTCTGACGGACAAAGGAATACGTTGACTCATGTATTGATGTACGATTTAGTGAGACAATGTTTATTCAAATATAACTCTGCCGGAGGCAAGCGCTTTTACTCTTCTGGTGGACAAAGGAATACGTTGACTCAAGTATTGATGTATAATTCAGTGAGACGCAGTTTATCAGTCAAATATAACTCTGCTGCGGGCAACCGCTTTTACTCTTCTGACGGACAAAGGAATACGTTGACTCATGTATTGATGTACGATTTAGTGAGACAATGTTTATTCAAATATAACTCTGCCGGAGGCAAGCGCTTTTACTCTTCTGGTGGACAAAGGAATACGTTG